AAGCAAATAAAGAAAACGATAAACAATCATCTGCAGCCTAAGAAAAATCATTCTGGAATCGAATTTCCCTCTACCCGTCAAATACTTAAACTTACGGATCAATTGCACGTGACCTAAATTACTTGTCAATACCATTATGTATCACTCACACTAAGGCTATCTCTAACGCAAAGTGAGACATCACATGTATTGCTCTCGTCGATGATCTCTCAACCGACTCAAATAACCCGGATGCATTTCATAATCAATACCCACATGAATATCAAGCCTAAATCTATGTATATAGTCTAAGACCTAATAGATATTCATTCAAGAAAGAGATTTAGAAAGCATATGTATATTTCAAACCAAAACTCCGTGATTAAGCAAAAATCAAGAATAAACACTGATATTAATTTGTAAAAGAGATTTCATACAATCCCATGATCAACAAATATACATACAATAAGAGTAAAGATATACATACAACACCCACCATAGGAATGATACATAGGGAAGAAGGAGATGAATAGGAAACTTCTCGTATTGTTAACATGATCCGAGACCATCCATAGCCAATCGACATGATGAACCACCCAATGATGTTACTTGAACCTCTAAGCTACAAAGAATTGGATCAGAGCTCCTCCAAGAGAGAAAGAGATGATAAAAACTTAGAAAATTTGTTTCTAAACTATTTATACAAAACTAATCTCAGCAGACCGCGCTTAGCGGATTCACCGCGCTAAGCGGACTGCGCTTATTTTAACACACTAAATCATCCAAAACAGTGCTTAGCAAGACGTGCGCGCTAAGCGGGCTCAATTACAAAGCTTCTGTCAAATTCTTTAAAATTATGCGTAGCGCGCTAGAGAATACGCTTAGTGCGGTCCCCTGAGCAGAACTTCTCAAAATTGGGTCTTTTATTCCGAAAACGCGCATCTGGAGTTGTGCCTTCGATACTTTATTCCTCAATGCTCCAAAACGCAACAAATACCTATAAAAGAAATAAAATATATCAAACGTTACACAAATGAATAAAAAACACAAATATATACAAACTAAATGTATTTACACAAAAGTCGGGTTTATTCAAGGATTATTAATAACAAAGAAGGATATCAATTACCTCTTCAAATGGATATCCTCTTGACACAAATCATCCATCCTATGGATATAAGACTCAGAGTCCGCCAAGAAATGGCTCTAACGCGAGAACTTAGAGAATTTACCCGAACATTGATAAGGTACCATGGGTTCTACTGGGCACAAGTTATCATGAGTTGTCACGGTGAGAGAAGCATCCAAGTAGTACCGGTCTTTGAAATACTTTAGACTCTCGAAATAAACTCTAAACATCTTGGTACACTTCTTGAGAGATATCCGACCTTGACCCCGCGTTGAATCAGTGGAGTTGTGTTGGCCTTAAAGAGATGGAAAAAGGCGTCACAGTCATCACTCACTTCTTGTATTCACACCAATACTAAAAATCTTTGATGTAAGCCAAACTCACTGGATGCAATGGAAAATTAGCAATTAATAAATAATTAAAAACACCAACCTTAAATTCGTTGAAAGGAACACAAAAACATATCAAAGAGAATAGGAATTTATGAAAAATAATGAGACACCTGTAATATTTGTTGCATATCCTCTTATCGTCCCTAGGGGGAAGCACCTCCAAGAGGAGAAGTTGCAGGCGAGAGAGGAGAAGAGTTCAAAAACTCACAAATGATGAAGAAAGAGAAACTAGTAGGTCAAGAACTCATTATATGTGTCTCAACATATGTGAACTATGTGATCCATTACATTGGGAAACACACATCACACCACCAACAGTCGAGATTCGTGAACTCTTTAGAGTACTTGAGTATCCTAAGACAGAGAAGATTTCACTGTTATCATACATAGAGACACATGTTAGGATTTCTTTGCGAAACATCGTCGATCAAGAGAAAGACATTCAATGCATATGTTTCTAATGTTAGTGACTTTCAGTCATGACTTTTCACTTACTTATGCTAATAGCGGCCTGAAGGTGTGCATGGTAAAAACCCCATTCAACAGAATAGGAATAAGGGCTTGGAGGGACTGATTTTGGTCGTCCGCAAAGCCCATGACAAAAGGCCCGAGAGCAAACTCCTAGTAGAAAAGTGCACGGAATCGGTAGATCTCCGCTCTGATCAGAAGCAGACAATTCATCCCTTCAATGCATCGATCACTGTCCAATTCAATTAGATGATTGTCCGCACAACACGCTGCATTATGTGTGGATGATTTTAACTGCTCTTGATATATAAGAGAAATGCGCGTAATTTAAAATATTTAAATTCATTCTCACTCTTACATTATTTTTCAATCTCTCATTAACTTGGACGTTACAGTGCTTATCTTACGAGTTCAATTCATTCCACCACCACATTAAAAATATTACTTCGCCACAATAATATACAACTCCACCCCCTCATCTTCTATTTTAAGTTTCCAACCAATAAAGAAATATTCAAATCTCTCAAAACTTTGGTTTTTTTCCCTTTTGGTTTATAACAAGAATAATAATAATAATAATAATATCAACAAATTTAACCGACCAATCATCAAAAGTAAGATAATATGTAGTATTATTTTGAATTGGAAAAAGAAGGAAGCAACAAAAGTCATACTACACTATTAATACCAAATCCTTGGTCCAATGTTGTCTAGAAACAAATTAGATAACACCGTAAAATCGTACTGACTTTGATTCGTTTGCGATACCCGCTATATTTATTAGCGGTGTGTCCTTATATGCTATTTTCAAAAGAGAGCAAATTTGGGTCTCTTAATCAAACTTTCATTGACTCGTATTAATTAATGGTCCCCCAATCATATTAAACACAAAAACAAATTAAATACCATTCAATTCAAGTCCTACCAAATCTTCTTGCTAGTAATAGCTATTTTTAATTCCATTTTACTAAATTTGGATAAATTTTTAAACATTTTAAGACATAATGTACGCATTTTTTAATAAACTTTTCACTTTTTAAATTGCTTTGATTACATTTTATTGAAACAAAATAAAGTAGTCATAATATCATATAGCTTCCCCACAAGAAATTCCAAGAAAATGATAGAAGAAAAGTCATTATATCACTCTAAGTAATCAGTGTCTATTTCTCTTTCTTTCTTAATTTGGTTCAGTTCAGAAGCTAATTACATTCGAAACCTCAATTATTGAAAGTGTACTTGGCTTCAGAATGATCATTAACCTATTACAAAGGTTTTTCAAATAATAAATCATGCAAAGTTTCATGTGAAAGAAAAGAATGTAACAAAACAAGATTCATCTTCCACTTTATTCTCTCCACACCATTACATCTAATAAAGGGCACTAAATAAAATGTACTTTTAAAAGCTGTCATTGTAACTAAAGTTATTAACTAATCAGATTCAGGGTAGTTAAGTCAAAATTCACTTCACATGTAAGACTAGTAATTACAAATTCAACTTATAATACTTGTTTTATTGACGTAGTCAATTTAATATTTTATTATTATAAGGACAAAAATACACAAAAGAGGTGATGAGATTAAAGAGTCTAAAGTTTGGATTAAAAGATATTCTACTTTAATTGTATTACTATATTAAAGACCTTGAGGGATTAAAATTAGTGGATCAAAATCTTACTTAAAACACTTTTATTTGTTTAATATTATCATCAAAGAGCATTGTATTTCAATAGTGTTTAAATTAGGGCTGTCAAATGAGCAATGTCCATTCCGTTTAGGTCTATTTCGTAAAAGTTCACAAAAAATAGGGTGGAGTGGGGTGGTATAGTCGAGAATGCGAGTTTAAAATTTAGGTTCGTCCTACAAAAATAATAAGTGTGGAGTGAAGAAAGTCATCAGACACTGTACCTTTTAAACTTACAAATACAAAAATTTATATTAATATTCATATCCGCAAAAGCCCGTAAAGAAAATGGAACGGAACAAGATGGTCATATTAAAGAATAAGAATCTAAATTTTTAACCCACTATACATTAAAATGCGAGTAAAACAAATATATCCAATAGTTCATACCCGTTTTACTACCATAATTCAAATCAAGTTGAAAATAAATATTCTATTGTATTAATGACTAACTTTCAAAGTATGTATCCTAAATTGATATGGCTCTCACACTCACTCATTACCATGCATTAATTTTTAATGCTGAAGAGTCAAAAATAATAAGAAAGCCATATTATTGTTTCCAGACATATAGTAGTACCTTTTCCCTCCATTTTATTAAAACTCATAACTTTATGTGTTTTTGGTTGTACCGTCTAGACAGCGACCTTTTTCCCGAAGAATGCGTTGGTAGTATCAAACTTTGTATTCCTTCTTTTCCTTTAGCTCTCACCTTTCATACTAATCATCATTTCATTAAGAGAATCAACTAATGATCATCAATGCTAATATGAGTTGGTCAGTATCCTATCACCATTCAATAAGGTACACTTTTTGCTCAAGAATATCAACTTTTAAATTTAATTCACATTATTTTTATGAGTACCAATATATCTAATTTACTTAAAAGATCGAATATATTTATTATTCATTAAATCTAAAAAGAAATTTTTTTTATTATAATAAAAGCCGGAGTAGTAGTGTAGTAGTGTATATATGAATTTTAACACAATGAATGTGAAAAATAATCAATGTATAGTCCAAGTCTATAGGTGCAAGTACCATATGACAAGAATAAACATTATAGTGTAAAAGATTCCTCTATAGTCCAAGTCGGCTAAGAAACAAAGTGATACTAACGCATTTTCCCCCATGTCATGAAATGATTAAAGTTCAAACCACCTTCCATATATATATATAAGAATTTTGAGACATACACCACCATCATACCCTCTCACTGTCTCATTGGATTAGACAATTCAACACATTTCCTCTTCTCTCTGCCCTTTTATTTTCCATTCATATTCAAAACTTCCAACACAAACCAAATCATACCAAACATTAAACAACAAACAACTAGTCATCCAATGAACATGCCAACCTCTTCCCATGTTCTCCTTCCTCGTAGAGTTATAATTTTCATCATGTTCCTTCAAATCCAAACAATCACTTCTTCTCTCTCATCTTCCCCACAAAAACAACCTTTCATATTACCATTAAAACTCCAAACACTCCCACATGGCACAATTTCACTTCCAAACCCTTCTTCACGTAAACTCTCTTTCCAACACAATGTAACCTTAACCGTTTCACTAACATTAGCCTCACCCCCACAGAATGTTACCATGGTCCTCGACACAGGGAGTGAACTCTCGTGGCTACACTGTAAAAAGCTTCCGAATTTAAACTCCATTTTCAACCCCCTCCTCTCTTCAACATACACCCCTATCCCATGCACTTCACCCGTCTGTAAAACCCGAACCCGAGACTTCCCCGTACCCGTTTCATGCGACGCAAAAAAACTCTGCCACGCTACAGTCTCCTACGCTGACGCCTCCTACATGGAAGGAAACCTCGCCACGGAAACTTTCTTCGCCGCCGGGTCAGCACAACCCGGAACTATATTCGGGTGTATGGATTCCGGGTTCAGCTCCAACACAAACGAAGACTCCAAAACAACCGGGTTAATGGGCATGAACCGTGGTTCTCTCTCGTTTGTAACCCAAATGGGGTTACCCAAATTCTCGTACTGCATCTCCGGTAAAGACTCCACCGGCGTGTTACTATTCGGAGACTCAAATTTTAACTGGCTCGGCCCATTAAAGTACACACCTCTAGTCAAAATGTCAATCCCATTACCGTATTTCGATCGAGTCGCATACACGGTTCGACTCGAGGGAATACGAGTCGGGAAGAAATTACTTCAGGTACCAAAAACAATCTTCGCACCGGATCACACCGGAGCGGGTCAGACAATGGTGGATTCGGGTACACAGTTTACCTTCCTTTTAGGACCGGTTTACACCGCATTGCGAGAAGAATTCATAGCTCAAACAAAAGGAGTAATGACCCTTTTGAACGACACGAATTTCGTCTTCCAGGGGGCTATGGATTTGTGTTATAGAGTCGGGTCGGGTCGGGTGGGTCTTCCGCCTTTACCGGCGGTGACGCTTATGTTTGAAGGAGCGGAGATGAGTGTTTCAGGGGAGAGATTATTGTACAAAGTTAGTGATGACGTGGCAAAATGGAAGAATGATTTGGTGTATTGTTTCACGTTTGGGAACTCTGACTTGTTGGGAATTGAGGCTTATGTTATTGGACATTATCATCAAATGAATGTGTGGATGGAGTTTGATTTGGTGAAGTCTAGAGTTGGATTTGTTGATACTAGTTGTGAACTTGCAAGTCAACGATTAGGGATGGTTCCTTAGAAGAAGGAGTGGGTTTGTTTTTTTTGAATGGTTTGGAACATGTGTGTCCTACAACTGTGGAGATTAAGTTTTGTGGCAGGTAGGTTAGGTAAATACTTGATACCACTTGTACTAGGACTGGTTTTTGTTGTTTTCTTGGTTGGTTTTTAGTGTTTGAAGACAATTTTTAATGTTAATGATGGTGATGATATTTATGGAGAGGTTCTTATTCTTGTGATGGTCGATTGTACAGTTTATAATGAAGTTGAGGGTGCAAAGAAGCATAGTGATCATAATAATTTTAGGAATTAGTGTCACCACAATAATTGAATTAAGTTGCCGTTGAAATGGATTCTTGTATGGACTTGTCTGGTGTTGATATGAGAAGAAAAAATATGAACATGATCAATTTCGATTTTGATTTATCTACTTGTATGTACTATTTCGGCATGAATCCATTTTGCGTGCTTTAACTTTCGTGTGTTGCTAACAAGATATTCGTTTTTGGGTTACATAACAATATCTTTATGGTGATAACACAAATTCTAAAGTTTTAGTATTAGATATAGTGTTACAAGTCAAGTATTTAGTTAATAATGTTTTATGTTAGTAACTTGAATGTGTATTGAAAACCATTACATGATGTTCTCTTAATGAATTATTGAATGTGTGTATTGTTAAATTGATCAGGGAGATTCTTGATGCGGTGGTGCAATATTTCAGCGTAGTAGGGAGATTTGTAAAACTAGAAGTCAAACACTTAAATCACTCGGTGGATGAAAAATGATAGATGATTTTTTATCAAAATAATACTTTAGATCGATATTTAGTGAGACGTATACAATGGGTGGTAATTTGACTTATATTGTATTAGACATGTGATCATTCCAGGACAATTGTCCCAAAATCTCGTCGTGGCAGGACATACAAGAAGTCTTTCAAGAGATTGGATCAGATTCTCGATGTTGAGACCTTTATTTAGAGAAGTGGAAGAGATCTGGGGAATAAACGCTTAAATGTTAGTCTCGTCATTGAGACATTTCGTATGACTACCTTGCATGTGGTCTTAGGTTTGTAGGTTAGGGTGTGATGTTTCAGTGAGTGTAATATCTTCTCTTAGATGTTTTGAATGATGTCAAAACCAGATAATATGTAGTATTTGTACATTGAACCTTATCTTTTTGTGTCTAGGTTACATTTTCATCTTAGGATACTTAAGGAATAAGTCAAAAGCATTTGGACAAGTTAAAAATATAAAAAATATTTTTTTTATATGAAAAATCATATTTGGAGTCGACTCACCCATGTTAGGAGTCGACTCCCACTGAAAGTATTTTGACACAAAACTCTTTGCTGCAAAGGAGACGATACACAAGACCTTGGAGTTGATACACAACATGAAGGAGTCGACTCCCACTCGAAATGTTTTTGAAAAATAATTCTATTCATGATGGGTCGACTCCTAAGCATTTGGAGTCGGTACAAAGCACGAAGGAGTCGACTCCCATGTGTTATGTCTTGACTCCTACTAAAACATATTTTCTCAAAAAAAATTTGTCCACTTGGAGTCTACTTCCATGCAGTATGGGTTGACTTCCTTGCCATTGTGAGTTGACTCCCACTCCGAATGAGTCGACTTCCAATGTTTAAAATGTCCAATTTTGTAATTTTGCAACCCTATTTTTTCAGTTTTATTATTTCACACTTTCACACATATATATAGTCATTCATGCATCATTTCTCACAATTGGAACAAAAAATATACAAATCTTTTCATCATATTCGTCCACTCTCATTGCATACATACAACAACTACACATAATCGTTTTTGTTGTGTGATTAAGAGATAGTTTGATAACGTCCAATTAGGATAATCAATTGGGTTATTTGGGGTTTTCTTCCAAGATCAAGGATTGATTTGGGAGTTTTTCACAAGATTTCACAATTTCGATTCAGCCAAGAGAAAGTTTTGAAGAACGGAAATTTCTATCAAAGGAGTAATGATAACCAGAGGATTACTTTGGTAATCTTGGATCACAATACGTTCACAATTTGGATTCAGCGGAGCGAAAGCTTTAAAGAACGGGGGTTGTGTCAAAGGAGTAGCGGTAACTGGATGATCAAATTGGAAGTATTGGGTTACTTGATTGAGCTTTGATCAAGGGGAGAGAAGAAGATACAGATCAACATTAACTTAGGATTTGAAGGGTTGGGTGCTACCTTTTCTCTTATAAACTACATTTGTAAAGGTTAATTTTCATTGTCTCAATTCCAAACATAATTGGGGGCAGATGTGCCCATAACGAGGTTGATTAGGGATCTGCCTAAATGAATCCTTCTCTCTCTCATTTATATTTACTTGTAAATTGTGAAATGATTGTTGTGCAGTTGATACATAGAGATAATCTCTTTGTTTAATAATTTAAATTATTTTGTTGAGTTAATTACAATCTATGTGATTGTAATTGGATTTACATATCAACAAAATCATAGAAAATCTATTTTAAATCGATTGCATACCAAGTGTTCGACAAATTGCTTAAATCAAAATTTGTTTGTATTTCATTGGAAATAGATTACTATTGTGTAATTTAATTCAAACGTGGTTGCTGAAAATATATTGATTGTTTTTCTTATCTTACGTATTTGTTCCATCATTTTAATGCATATCCAGTCTTTTTGATAATGTTTCAGATAAACGATTATTGATCAGGGTTTTGTTTCCGCGCGCCATAGTTAAAACATTTTTAATAAGAAAAATGCATTTTCAATCTATTCACCCCCACCTCTAGATCGTAGCCTATCATTTAACAAGTGGTATCAGATCCTGATTTATCTTGTGCTTCAAATCACTTATTAGATAATGGATTCTGAACCAAAAGAGGCGTACAATAGAGTGCCTATTTTCAATTACAAAAACTATGGTTATTGGAAAGATTATATGTGTATCTATCTTAATTATGTTGATAGGAAGGTATGTAGCACCGTCCAAAATGGTTCATATGAAAATACCATGACCAGTGCAGAAGGTGTTTGTGATACGGTGGGAGAACTGACTTGAGTTTTGCGTTTGTATTCGCACTTGTTCGGTTTAGCAAGAGTCGCCACCGACTTTTTATTTTATCCTAAAGGAAAGGTTAAAAAGCACAGGAAAAACCTTTTGAGATGTTTCGTGGGTTCGGGGGGTAGATTATGAAAAGGGAAGGTATTAGCACCCTTTTCATCCATGGTTATCCATGGGCTCTTAGTTACTTTGTTTAGATCACTTGCCTTTGATTTTCAATTGCTTGAAATTGTGGTGTGTGTGTGTGTTTTGAAAATGTTTTTGAAGATGATGCCTTGTCTAGGCAACCATTGTAATGACTCGTGTTTGAGTGTTTTACAAAGGTGTGTATCTTTTCGAAAAGATGTTTCAAATGTTTTTGGAAGTTTGTTTTTGAAAGTGTTTGTGGAGTGTGGTTTGAAAAGTAGGCAAGCGTGTTTTGCAAGTTTGATCAAGTAACTAAGAGTTTGTCTACCCTATTGTACTCAAATGTTTTTCTCATGTTTTAACCCTTTTTAACAATTTTGTTCCACCATTGTATTTGGTGGACAATCTTGCGTTAGGATGTTAACGGGACAGGCGCGGGTCATCGTATGGACCATGAATGCAATGGTGCCAAGTGTCTTTGGCAATTTTGCTTGAAGGGACTATGATCATTTTGATAGGCAACTTTCGAAAGCGTCATCGAGGGACTATGATCATTTGATTTGTTTTGTTTTGCCAAAGATACTCGACGTGCAAGCATGGCCCATTTTGGAAGGCAACAAGCGGGATTACCCTAGGGGGTGCAAGTGTGATTGTGTATTGATTTCATGCATTTGTCTTTGTATTAGGTTATCTAGCGTTTCATTTTATGTACATACAAACCCTAGGTCTAACCATGGTATATTTGGAAGCGATAAATTGCGGGAATTTAAAGTCTACGCTATTACAAATAAGTATCCAGGAGTGGAGGTACAAATATTTACAAATGGGGATGAGACTTTAATAGGAGAGTAGTGTCCAAATATATTTACAACCAAATCGAATCGATCGCAATGTAAAATGTATCAATGTACAAGAATAAGCAAATGTAAATGTGTCAATGTATTTGTGTAAGTGTATGATTATTTACAAGGTGAAAAATGTGAATTTTAATGTATTATTAAGTATGTATTTATTCCTTTTGGATTTTTATATTTTTGTTAATATGTACAAACAAAATATTTTAAGAAAAGAAAAGGAAATGTTTTAGGTTTAATTATCCTATTGTCTAGGTATTTAATTAGTGTTTTATATACAACAATTTTAATTAAAGAAATGTTTTAAGAAAAATTAAAGTTTTATGTACTTATGTTAGTATTTTTTATGTACAAAGATTTTAACTAAAGAAAAGAAAAGAAAATTGTTCAACTTTTAAGAAAATTAATATTCATATCTTTTCTTTAAAATGTAATAATAAAAAAGGAAACAATTAAGAAAGTTTGTATGAAAATGTGTTATTTTTATTTATCAAAGAAAATATTAATTTAGATTATATATAAAATGGTAAATTGATAATAAAAAGAGGAATTAGTTTATGAAAAGGAAATAAAGGAATATTTATGTTCAAAACAAAAACAAAAAGGAGAGGATGGGCTTAATGGGGTTTATTCTGGCCCAAACAACAAATGATCAGAAGAAAATATGGGGGTTGTAGGCCAGGTTTTGATGGGCTTAAGGCTGATTAGGAAAGGGCAAGGCCCAACCACTTGACACAAATTTGTAAGGGTTTGAACTTGTTTTGCTCATTTGGGAATTCTAGGGTTCGTTGGATTTACAGAGCGGCGCTCTTCTTCATCTTCGTTCCTCTTCGTCCTCTCAAACCAAAGCTTGTCTGAGCGGAACCTCTGTCTAAAGCCAACCAGCGCCATCGTTACTTCCTCTTCCCTCCATGGATTATTTAGTGAGGTTGTACTAAGGTAATGATTTCGTTCTTTTAATTTTAGGGTTTTAAGCT